CTCTGAAACCTTACCTAGTGGTGAGAGCAGCTCCCAGCCTGGGTAGTTATTACATTTTCCATGTGGATAAGAGCGGGCTCCTCCTCTCAGCACAGCTCCCTTTTATAGGCTTGGCAAGAGCTGCAGAATCCGATCTGGCTTTGGGACGCCTCATGAGGTCTGCGGGAACAGATTTTCTCCTTTGAGGGCACATAAACATGCAGCACTCAGGAAAAAGGCAAAGAACAGCAAAATTCCTGGACTCTTTTCTTTTAAAGTATTAATGTCAAAAGAGTTTCAGTGGGGTCTGGCCAATACCCCCCAGAATACGACTTCCCTTAAAAATTCCACCCCTTCGAGAAAGAGCCCCCGCTATTAAGAAGTCTGACGTGAACTCTTGAGGGATGCATCCAGCCCTCTGGTGTATAATCGCCCTCCCTCTCACCCCCCCACCCCGTTCACTAGTAGTAGAAGGTCTTTGTGCAGGGACCTGTCTGGTCTGGCCCCTTCACTCTTGGATGCTATAACCTGAGAAATGGTAATGGGCGGAGATCACAGGCATCTGACGAGGAAAGACGCACGCTACAGCTGAGGGGCTGCCATAGATCGAAGCCCAATAACCACAGCTGGGGAACATGCTGCTCAAACCACTAAGGGGGCAGCTAGCAGAGAGAGGAAGGTGGCAAATCTGCTGCCACACAGATACTGACATTCTACTAGGGGCGAGGAGGCTAAAACCGTGTGAGGAGGAGTAACTTCCTTCTCCTCAACCCCGCCCAGTGATATGTGCCCTTACAGTGGGGGTGGGGGGAGGGGAACTAGGTTAATACCCCCGAGGACCATTGTCCAGACCGCTGCTGGGCTGAAGCTGGGGAGTACAGCCTCATAAATGCAGAACCTTGACATCACAATCAGCCTGAGCTTCCCATTGGCTGCAGCAGCTGTTAATCAGCAGTGGAGAAATGTGATGGGCTGCTGAGGAGCTCCTGCCCCGCCCTCCTTCCCCAAGCCAGCAGCAGGCATTGCAGGTGTGAAGTGAAAGAGGAGCCATTGGATTGCTGGGACCATGGTGCAGCTGGGGCCGTCTCTCTGGCAGCGATAAGGTACGGCCGAGGCAGAGCTGCAGCACGTGCAGAGCCCCATGGCAGGCCCTGGAGAGACCCTCGCTTAGAGCGAGCAGAAGGACACTCACGGTTGGGTTCCTTCGTCTAGCACAGGTGCACCCACTGCTCAGCGTCCCTGCAGCAGCTCCAGGGCCGAGAAGGGGACTGTTGTAGCAGTGTAGCTGGAACAGCTGGGCTAAAGGCGTTAACATTACCCAGTCACTGTCCACCATCGAGTATGCAGAGACCTCAGCCTGCTCGGTACCATGGCCAACACACCCCTAAAAATCCCTTGAGCCTTTTATTAAAGATCCAGAAAAACAGCATTTCAAATGTTAAAATGAAAGCCTTATTTTACACCCTCCCTCTTTCCCCATAGTTGGGGAGAGGTGGTAGGAGGAAAGGCCCCACATGTTTGACAGTCTTTTAGATGGTACCAAAGTCGGCAATAACTCTTCTTTGGGGGGAGAAGCTCGCTGAGATGACATCAGCTGGGGCTGCTGTTAAAATCTGATTTGGTTTCCTAGAAGACAAAACACACACAAGAGGGGAGGGAAACGAACAGCAGAGATGGACAATACAGCTTGTGTGTCCAGCTGTGATGGTCACTTGCAAGTTCGCTACTGGGGGAAAAGAAAAGAAAACAAACAAACAATAAAAAAATACGAGGAGGTTAGTTAAAAGGTACAGCACCAAAAGTAAAATCCCTGCAAGCTGCGTGGAAACTTTTTAAAGAGACCATAATAGAGGCTCAACTTAAATGTATACCCCAAATTAAAAAAATATAGTAAGAGAACCAAAAAAGAGCCACCGTGGCTAAACAAAGTAAAAGAAGCAGAGAGAGGCAAAAAGGCATCCTTTAAAAAGTGGAAGTTAAATCCTAGTGAGGAACATAGAAAAGAGCATAAACTCTGGCAAATGAAGTGTGAAAATATAATTAGGAAGGCCAAAAAAGAATTTGAAGAACAGCTAGCCAAAGACTCAAAAAGTAATAGCAAAAAACATTTTAAGTACATCAGACACAGGAAGCCTGCTAAACAATAAGTGGGGCCACTGGACAATCATTCAAGGATGATAAGACCATTGCAGAGAAACTAAATGAACACTTTGCATCATCTTCACAGTTGAGGATGTGAGGGAAATTCCTCAGATTTGTCACCTAAAAAGAATGGCTCAAGTTTGGGGTTTGTCCCAGATTGAGGTGTCATTAGAGGAAGTCTTGGAATAAATTGATAAACTAACCAGTAATAAGTCACCAGGACCAGATGGTATCACCCAAGAGTTCTGAAGGAACTCAAATGTGAAATTGCAGGACTACTAAATGTCTGTAACTTATTTAAATCAGCTTCTGTACCAAATGACTGGAGGATAGCTAATGCGATGCCAGTTTTTAAAAAGGGCTCCAGAGGTGATCCCGGCAAGCTTGACTTCAATACTGGGCAAACTGATTGAAACTATAGTAAAGAACAAAATTGTCCAAGATATAGATGAACATAATGTGTTGGGGAATTGTCAACATGGTTTTTGTAACAGGAAATCATGCCTCACCAATCTACTAGAATTCTTTGAGGGGGGTCAACAAGCATGTGGACAAGGGGGATCCAGTGGAAACAAAGGGTAGGAATAAATGGTCTGTTTTCAGAATGGAGAGAGGTAAATAGTGGTGTGTCCCAGGGGTCTGTACTGGGACCGGTCCTATTCAACATATTCATAAATGATCTGGAAAAAGGGGTCAGTGAGATGGCAAAATTTGCCGACGATACAAAACTACTCAAGATAGTTAAGTCCAAAGCAGAATGCGAAGAGCTACAAAAGGATCTCACAAAACTGGGTGACTGGGCAACAAAATGGCAGATAAAATTCAATGTTGATAAATTCAAAGTAATGTACATTGGAAAACATAATCCCAACTATACATATAAAATGATGGGGTCTAAATTAGCTGTTACCACTCAAGAAAGATCTTGGAGTCACTGTGGACAGTTCTCTGAAAACATCCACTCAATGTGCAGCGGCCGTCAAAAAAGCGAACAGAACATTGGGAATCATTAAGAAAGGGATAGATAAGACAGAAAATATATTGCCTCTATATAAATCCAAGGTACACCCACATCTTCAATACTGTGTGCAGATGTGATCGCCCCATCTCAGAAAAGATATATTATAATTGGAAACGGTTCAGAAAAGGGCAACAAAAACGATTAGGGGTGTGGCATGGCTGCCGTATGAGGAGAGATTAATAAGACTGGGACTTTTCAGTTTGGAAAAGAGATGACTAAGGTGGGGGATAAGATAGTGGTCTATAAAATCATGACTGGTGTGGAGAGCGTGAATTGGGAAATGTTATTTACTCCTTCTCATAACACAAGAGCTAAGGATCACCAAATGAAATTAAGAGGCAGCAGGTTTAAAACAAACAAAAGGAAGTATTTTTTCACACAACGCACAGCCAACCTGTGGAACTCCTTGCCAGGGGATGTTGTGAAGGCCAAGACTATAACAGGGTTCCAAAAAAGAACTAGATAAATTCATGGAGGATAGGTCCATCCATGGCTATTAGCCAGGATGGTGTCCCTAGCCTCTGTTGGCCAAAAGCTAGAAATGGGGGACAATGGATCACTTGATGACTCCCTCTTCTGTTCATTCCCTCTGGGGCACCTGGCATTGGCCACTGTCAGAAGACAGGACACTGGGCTGGATGGACCCAGTATGGCCGTTCTTATGACGACTTAGGGACAGTGTGTCTGCATCCACAACAGCCACTGCCACGTGTTTCCCTGGCCTCCCTCCACAACCGGGGCAGGGACCTCCCAGCTCTGGGCCCAAAGCCACCTGCCTCCTCAGCCAGCTCCCTCCTTCATGCTGCTTGCAGGAGGGGGTCAGTAGCCATTGGGATATTGGTGCAAATTGGCATTATTAGCTGTACTGATGCCTAAACAGAGTGGTCATGTGACTACAGTACTGTAACCCCATCAGTCCTTGCCCCCAGCACCCCCATCTTTGGGCAGGACCCGCAGCTGCCTGCATCCCCAGTAAGGCACCTGTCATAGACTCACCATAGCAGAGCACCTCCTTGTGGTGAGAGCCAGCATCACAGTCCCTCTGCCTCTCCCTCCCAGCTCTGCAGTGAGTGCCCCTCCAGGGGATGTTGACACTGCAGCTGGGGGAGTGCGTCCCAGCCCAGGCAGACGCTAGCAGCCTAGCCAGGGGCAGCACACGCTAGCTGTCTGGTCCGCGTACATGCCCAGGGTGTCCATGTCACTTTGTCCGCAGTGGATTGCCCCAGTACCTGCCCATGATGCTACCCCTAGAAACACTGCTGTTTTTAGCATGCTAGCTTTAGCTGGGACGCACAGGCCCAGCTGCAGTGCAGATCCGCCCTCAGAGTCATGCCCCGTCTGAGGCGACAACATCCCAACGCAGAGGAATGAAAACACTCCCTCCCTCCACTCAGTCCTCCAACCTGCAAACTTCCTCCTCGCTCTGTTACCCCCACGGCTCTCTCCCCAGCACCTCCCAAGCCACCAACCTCAGGGCTTCTCCCCCACAGGCTTTTCTCCTGTTTTAGGAGTCTCCTTCTCCCTGCAGAGACAGGCCCAGTGTACAGCCACCTGCCCAAACACCCCTTTGGGTTCCTGTCCTAGAGAGAAAACTAGGACTCCTCACCCCAGGGCCCTCAGTCCTTCCTTTATAGGAACCAGCCAGGCTGGTTCTCCCCAGCTGGATCTAACCTATAATTAAGGGCTAATTGGACTTTCCTTTAACCCTCTCACTGCCAGTGTGGCTGGGGTTGATACACGCGTCGCAGTGTCTAGGACACTGTGGTTTGCTCTAACATACTATAATAACGCTGCAGAGGGACGAGGACAGTGCAGAGGGGTGGGGTGAGGTGGGGCGTATCAATGAGAGAGATGCCATTCGGGGGCTGCACCGAGTGGCAGGGGAGTGAGAGAGTCAGGGGTGGATTTCTGAACAGTGGCTGGGTTGAGGTCAGAACCTGTGTGAGCTGGACAGAGGACAAGGACTTGGGACAGACAGACCATGCAGGCTCTGTTTGGATGGAGCGGGTAAGAGAGGACAGAGGGATCTGGCCGAGGTTGTCTGCTCGAAGCGAGGTACGGGCTGCAGCTGGACTGGGTGAGGGGCGCCTCACTCTGGGACCTGCAGGCTGGCTGCTCTCCTCAATGCCGTTCACTGCCTTTCCCCCCTAGGTTCCCTGCTGGCCTCGGCACAGGACCCACACCTGCCATGGTGGAGTACTATGAAGCCCTGGGAATTCCCCGCAGCGCCTCCTCTGACGACATAAAAAAGGCGTAAGTCCCGCTTCCTTGGAGCAGCCGCAGCCTCATCCCCAGGTGTCCCGATGGCACCGTTCCTCTGGGCATGCCAGTGCTGTCCCCAGGGGCTCTGGACGCGGGGCATCTTCATGTAACAGGACCATGGACAAACACTCTTCGCTACAGGGACCATGCCGCCCTCTCGGGAAAGGGGGCCATTCTCGGCCTGTGCTCTGCAGGGCTCAGACTAGATGGTCCCAACGGGCCTTGGAATTGAGGAATGGATGCTGAGGTGGCTGCAGGGCCAGGAGGGCGGTGGAGGTGGAGCTAGTCTGTGGTGTGAGCCGGGACACGTGGTGGCCGGGAGCTGGCTCCCCTGTAGTACCCTGTGCTGTGCATAGGTATCCCGTTAGGGGCTGCCCTTTCCCCACTGAGCTGTGACAGAGAATGGGAGGGCAAAGGTGACCAGACCTACTGCAGTTGGAGTTACCCTGGGAGCCCTGCCTTTGACCCCAAGCCTGCTGCTCCTGAAATCAGGGTCCAAACACCCACCAGTGTCAGCGGGAGCAGGCAAGAACCTCTGCAGCAGGGCTGTGGTTCCACCTAGCCACCATTCGCTCACAGCCACGCTGGGCCCTAAGATCCCATCATTACTGCAGCCTGGTGGTCGTAGAAAGCCACATGGGGGGAGGTGAGGGGACTGACACATTTAAAGGGAGACCCTCCTTCCTGGGCAGATCCTGCCGTGGTGTCCAGCACGAACCATCCCTGGTCCCTGCTGGGATGCCGTAGCATGGTAGAGTTATTGTCATTCCTTAAAGCAGAGGTTCCCAAACTGGGGGACTGTTTTCTGGGGTTGTGTGAGAAGCTTTAGGGGAAAAAAACCACCCTTACGGCGCACATTTTGCCCACAGCAATCAACAGGCATCTACATAAATTGTGGTGAAATCACACATTTTTTGCAGGTTGGTCGGGGCGTAAAGAGCCAGTTTCGCAGGTGTGTTCATACAGTTGTATGTTCCATGGCCACCCTTACTTCTGCGCTGCCGCTGGTGGCGGTGCTGCCTTCAGAGCTGGGTGCCCGGCCAGCAGCTGCCGCTCTCCCACCGCTCAGCTCTGAAGGCAGCGCAGAAGTAAGGGCGGCAATATTGCAACACCCCTACAATTGGGTGGCGACCCCTTTTGGGTCAGGACCCTCGGTTTGAGAAATGCTGCACCAGAGGGCCCTGGGCATTTTCACGGCTTTCTGTTAAGCTTGCATAGCAGTATACAAAGTTGTTGCCATCTGTTTGTTAATCCGTTTGCTACGAGGCGGTGTGCACATTTCATTGTAAGCATGGACCACAAGCGCAGTTTTACTTGTGCTGTTACTACAATGGATCGTTGGCTCATTCGTACAACAGAAAATAACAAAACAGAAAAACCAACTCAGAAGCCAAAACAGATCCAAGTGAAGCACTGCCGTTGGTGGGAGATAGTGAGAAGCAAGCCACACACATAGTGAAGCGTGCTGCAGATGAGGCTGTGACACGTGGAGTCCGTTGCAGGGAGGGGCTGACTCACTCACTGGCAGCGTTGCAGCCAGACTGGGGTCGGCTACCCCTGAGCCACTTCCCAGCTCCCCCTCTGGACATATCTGCCTTGGGAGAGGGTCGTCCTGGTCGTCGGGGAAGAAGCCCTCTGTCAGCGCTTGCAGTTCCTCCCTGCTCGGGTCTGTAAATGGCCCTGGCCAGTCCTCGGCTCCCTCGGGGCCTGCAGCAGCCGCCCAGCTCAGGAGCTCGCAGGAGGCGTCTGACTCCTCCAGCGGCTGCCTCCCAACTGAGTTCTCCGGCCAGGCTTTTATACTTCTGGTCCTGCCCACTGACTTCCGGCGGGAGGGTTGAGCGAGGTGTGGCTCCGCCCACCAGGCCTCAGTGAGGGGCCCCTCCCCCTCCAGGTCTGTGGGCGGCCAACCCGTCTCACTACCCCTGGCATAAAGTCAAGCGGAGGAAATACCAAGAGGAATACACACAATACGGCTTCACCTACTTGCGGATTGGAAATGTGGCGCATCCACAGTGTGTCCTATGCTCAGAAGAGTTTGCACAAGAGAGCTTAAAACCCGTACAGCTGCAGAGGCATCTGCAGCCCAAACACGCCACGCACGGCGATAAGCCAGCAGCGAATTTCCAGCGGAAAGAATGAGACCTTAAAGGTCAACGGGACGTTATGAACAAACAAACAACAACCCCAGCAAAAACTCTAACGGCTTTCTACAGTTTCCTACCTAATTGCTAAATGTAAAAAAGCCTCTCCAATTAATTGGCCTCTCAGAGTTGGTAAGACAACTCCCACCTGTTTATGCTCTCTGTATGTGTGTATATATATCTCCTCAATATATGTTCCATTCTATATGCATCCGAAGAAGTGGGCTGTAGTCCACGAAAGCTTATGCTCTAATAAATTTGTTAGTCTCTAAGGTGCCACAAGTACTCCTGTTCTTCTTACTGCCTTAAAGGGTGCTTGTGCCCCTCCTGGCACTTCGGGGAAAACCCCATGACCACCATCAAAGGGCAGCTTGTCCGAATAAACCCAGGGCAGGAAACACGCCCAGAGCAGGGAGTTATAGTCAGGAGATGCTGCTGCCCCCGAGCCAGGAAGTGTCCCATGCAGGCTGCAGCCTGGGCCCAGAGTCTGTCATTGCCTGGGGATGGAATTGCATTCGTCCATGGCAATAACTAGGGTTGCCAGGTGTCCAGTTTTCGACTGAAACGCCCGGTTGAAAAGGGATCCCGGTGTCTCCAATCAGCACTGCTGACTGGGCCGGTTGGTGGTGCGGCGGGGCTAAGGCAGGCTCCCTGCCTGTCCTGGCTCCATGCAGCTCCCGGAAGCAATGGCATGTCCCTGTGGCCCCTAGGTGCAGGGGTGGCCAGGGAGGCTTTGCGCGGTGCCCCAGCCCTGAGCGCCAGCTCTGTAGCTCCCATTGGCTGGGAACCGCAGCCAAAGGAAGCTGCGGGGGCAATGCCTGCGGGTGCAGGAAGCACGCGGAGCCCCCTGGCCGCCCCTACACCTAGGGACTGGACATGTCAGCCGCTTCTGGGAGCCGCCTGAAGTAAGCGCTGCCTGACCAGAGCCTGCACTCCGAACCCCCTGCCCCAGCCCTGAGCCCCCCCCACACGCAAACTCCCTCCCAGAGCCCCTGCCCCAGCCCGGAGCCCCCTCCCACAGCCTGAACCCCTCATCCCTGGCCCCACCCTGGAGCCTGCACCCCCAGGCGGAGTCCTCACCTCCTCCCGCATCCCAACCCTGCCCCAGCCTGGTGAAAGCAGTTGAGGGTGGGGGAGAGCGAGCGACTGAGGGAGGAGGAATGGTGTGAGCAGGAGGCGGGGCCTCAGAGAAGAGGCAGGGCAGGGGCGGGGCCTTGGGGCAGGGGTGGGGCAAGGGTGTTCGGTTTTGTGCGATTAGAAAATTGGGGACCCTAGCAATAATCACCGAGCGGGGAAGGGGGAGCTACTCTGGATCCCGTGAGGAGTCACAGCAGGAAGACAGGCTCTGTGTCCAAATGGAGCAGAGGTGACATCCATGGGGTTGTTCCGGACACACGAATCAGACTGGTCAAGCCCTGACTGGAGACGTGGGACAGCCTAAGGGACTGGGGCGCTGCTGTGCTTGCCGGGGCATCTCCAAAGCCAAACTCGGCTCTCTAGGAAGATCCAGCCTTGCTTTCTGGTGAAGCAGCGTTGGGGAAGGAGGGGACAAGGGGAAGATTCGACGGGGCGCAGCCCCTGGTGACGGGCACACTCAGGGATCGCTGCTTACTGCTGTCTCTCTCGACACTGTGCAGGTACAGGAAGGCGGCGCTGAAATGGCACCCGGATAAGAACCCGGAGAACAAGGAACACGCCGAGCAGAAGTTCAAAGAGATCGCGGAGGCCTATGAAGTGCTGTCGGACAGTAAGGGGCCGGCGTCTCCCCTCCCTCCGGGCTGAGTGTGGGTCCCGGGAGTGGGGGCCGGCGTCTCCTGTCCCTCCGGGCTGAGTGTGGGTCCCGGGAGTGGGGGCCGGCGTCTCCTGTCCCTCCGGGCTCAGTGTGGGTCCCGGGAGTGGGGGCCGGCGTCTCCTGTCCCTCCGGGCTCAGTGTGGGTCCCGGGAGTGGGGGCCGGCGTCTCCCGTCCCTCCGGGCTCAGTGTGGATCCTGGGAGTGGGGACTCCCTGCACAGGGTGGGTTGGCCATGGGTCAGAGCAGGCTCTCAGGTCCTCTTGCTGCGCTTGGAAGAAGGGTTTGCTCTCTCTGTTGCCCGCTGGGTTGCTCCCAGTGTGCCGCTTACCTCTCACCAGCCGCCCCAGTCGCTGGCTGCCAGGTGCTTCCAAGCCTGCAGGGCCTGGGGAGAGTCTAGTCACCAATTCTAGCTATGGGTCTATAGGGCACACTCCAGGGCCCAGTCCTCTCATCCGGCTTCTTCCCACCACTGTCCAGCCATCCTAGACCTCAAAGCCCGTGTCTGAGCTCTCCTGAGCCCCCCAGTGCTCACCCGCCCTCCTGCCGAACTCCACGGGGCTGCGGGCACTCGGGGCACCCCATTCAGCCCCTTTGGGGACAACGTGGCAGGCGGCGCAGGCGAGTTTCCTAACCCCAGTGACCTCAGCCTTAAAGCCTTCGAGAGTCACAGATCCCTGAAAACTATACAAGCCATGAGACTCCCGCTGCCCTGAGGTTCATCAGCGTTTCCGGCTGGACAGCGTCCCCCCCCCCTCTCTCCAAGCCCTTTGCTGCTGGCGTGAACCCCCTGCACGGAGCTGGACCCCGCACCCACAACGGGCCCGGAGCGCTGCACCATGTGCTCAGGCGGGGAAGCTCCAACTCCACCAGGCCCCTGCATAGAAAGGCCATTGTCCTGCGGGGCTTGGCCAGGCCCCCCCTATAAATGCTGCACAACATGGCTGTAGTGTCGACACTTGCTACCACCACAGAAGGGGGTTTCCCATCGCTGTGTAAATCCAGCCCCGTCCCCTGAGGGCGGGCGCTGGGTCAATGGAATCATTCGACCCTACGCCGGGGCTGAGACTGGCTAACTCCATCTCGCTGGGCCGACCCAGGCTGTGGGTGTCAGAGTCGATGGCAGCTTGACGGCTGTCAGAGATGGCCCTTCAGCGAGGTGTCCGCTGCCTGGCCCTGGCGGGGCAGCTGCCTGGAGTGAAGCACAACGGGCTGCCCTGGGCCAGCCGAGTTCCTGTGACCACGCTCCCCATGTTTCAACACAGGCACTAAACCGAGACTCCATAATCTACCGTTGCCCGCTGCTCCAGCTGGGCTCTAGGGCGTCCCCTCAGCCCGTTCGTGGCCATCGCTTCTCCTGCGTAGCTGCTGCCCCTAGGACGTGGCAAGGTGCCGTTTGCCAGGCTGGGATGGTGGAAGGGAAGCCTGCTGGAGCAATGCCTCCTGCCTCCTCCCTGCCCCTGGCAAAAGGGTCCCATGCAGGAATCCTTCAGTGCGACCCCTGTCTGGCTCCTGCGGTGCCCCGATCCCAGGCTGAGCAGGGTCTGGGAGCCTGGAGCCCTGTGACGACCCAGGAGGTGCAGGACTGCTCCCCTCGGAACATGCCCCAAAGGTGGGGGCTCCCACCCCTCGCCCAGGGGACAGTCCCAGAGCCCAGCCCCTCCCTCAGACAAGAGCTCCTTCCACATAGTCAGCCTCCATCTTCTCCTCCTGTGCCTCCTAGTCACAGCCCTGCACACCCTGAATCCCTGTCCCTTCCCAGCAGCCGCACCCTCCCCACAGTTGCCGGCTTTGGGCTGTGCTAGGATGAAGCCCCTTTAACCCTTCTTCAGAAGCCCCGGGCTGGTCTCCACTGAAAAATGAGGTCGGCATGTGAAAAATCCACCCCCCGGGAGAGACGTCGCTGTGCCGAGCTCAGCCCCCGGGTAGACAGCGCTAGGCCGAAGGAAGTTCTTGTTGCCGCCTCTGGGGTGGTGGGTTAGCGACGGCGATGGGAAACCCCCCTTCCTATTGCGCAGCTCCAGGTCCCCTGGGGATTGCCCTGGACTCTCCAAAGCAGCCCGGGAGGCAGTGGCCACGTTCCGGGCCAGGAGGTGGTCTCCACAGCACAGGAACGCCGGCATCATTTGGCTGTTTGGCGATTTCGTTCCCTGGCAGAGATCGGGACATTTAACTGCCCCGCATGCACCGAGCACCGGGACCGGGACGCTGGTCTCGTTCTCCTCCAGTCCTGGGGAGTGGCAGTGTGTACCTGTGGGTGTTCTCCCCTGCGTCGGTCATGCCCGTGTGTGCTCCCATCTTCTTTCAGCATCACCTGCCTGTCTGCTCCACAGCCCAGCCTTGTCCCTGGCTGGCACCTCCCACTACCCAAACTCTCCAGCCTTTTGCTCGCCAAACAACCTGTCAGCTCCCCCCGCTGCCGCTCTGGGTGCTGCCCGGCGCGCTCGCCGGCTCCCCCCGCTGCCGCTCTGGGTGCTGCCCGGCGCGCTCGCCGGCTCCCCCCGCTGCCGCTCTGGGTGCTGCCCGGCGCGCTCGCCGGCTCAAGGCCTGCATGGCTCCCTTGACGCCAGTGCTGCCTCGCTCCCCCAAGCCGCGGACTCCGGGGTCACACAGGTCAGAGGAGCAGGCCCTCCCCGGGTGAAGTCGAGAACTGATCACTGCTTCTGCAGCCCCCTGGAGATCTTCTGGAGACCTGCTCTCCCGTCCCTTACTAGATGGGCAGGGAGCCTGGCGTAGGCGCTGGCCAGGCCAGCTGTGACAGCCCCATGTCTGTTCCTCCGGCTGCTTCCCCATTTGCGGGCAGGCCCCCTCTGGCTCAGTACTGGGGGCGGTCAGCCTGGTGAAAGGGCCGCTGTGTCTGCAACTAGACCCAGACTCGTCTGAAGATGGGCTGGGTGACCTCTCACTCCTTCTCCCTTCCAGAGAGCAAGCGCGACCTCTACGACCGCTACGGCAAGGACGGGCTCACGGGGGCCGGTGAGTGACCCACCCGGGGGAAGTGGCCTTTCCCGTGGACTGGTCTGGATGCACATCCTGGCCTAGGGGACCTCCTTCCCGCCTGGGCATGAAGCGCCCTTCGTGCCCTGTGTAACTATGCTGGCTTTGGTGGGACCCAACTGTGAGAGCCAATACAGGACATATCGCTCAGAGCAGGGCAGTTACAGCCCAAGACTGGGGTCCTTTGCACACCCAGGCAAACCAAACCAGCCCAACAGAGAGGACTTCGGTCTCACCCCACTGGCTAACCACAAGTCACACAAGCAATTCCCTCAGACACTCCAGTTTCCCAGTATCACCACCAGTGCCACACGTTATGGGGACAAATGGTTATGAAAACCAATATCTCAGTAAAAGAAAAAAGGTTCTCTCGATCCCAAAGGACCAAGCCCCAGACCCAGGTCAATATACAAATCAGATCTTATCCATAAATCACACTGTTGCCAATCCTTTAGAATCTAAAATCTAAAGGTTTATTGATAAAAGAAAAAAGATCTAGATGAGAGCTAGAATTGGTTAAATGGAATCAATTAATTACAGTAATGGCAAAGTTCTTGGTTCAGGCTTGCAGCAGTGATGGAATAAACTGCAGGTTCAAATCAAGTCTCTGGAACATCCCCAGCTGGGATGGGTCATTCAGTCCTTTGTTCAGAGCTTCAGTTCGTAGCAAAGTTCCTCCAGAGGCAAGAAGCAGGATTGAAGACCAGATGGAGATGAGGCATCAGCCTTATATAGTCTTTTCCAGGTGTAAGAACACCTCTTTGTTCTTACTGTGGAAAATTACAGCAAGATGGAGTCTGGAGTCACATGGGCCAGTCCCTGCATACTTTGCTGAGTCTCAAGGCATATTTGCCTTCTCTCAATGGGTCCATTGTATAGCTGATGGTCCTTAATGGGCCATCAAGCAGGCTAGGCAGAGCTAATCCCAGTTTGTCTGGGATGTCACCCAGCAGCATAGCATAAGTTTGAAATACAGACAGTCTAGAGCCAATATTCATAACTTCAACTACCAAATTGATACACACATATAGACAGCATAATTATAACCAGTAACCCAGAACCTTGTCTTAGACACCCCGTTTGACCCCCTTTATACAAGATTTGGTGCCACTACAGGACCTAGGTCGCAACACTGATCTATATGGTCCCAGATTATATCAATAACGTCCCAGGGTGTGACAGGAAGCTCACATTGAGACAGATATAGCCGTAAAGACTTTTTATTAAAACCAATGAAATAGTAATTCAATGGTAAAATAATGAGAGTTACAAAGTTACAATTGTGTTACTGCTATTCAAAAGATACATATGGTCATACAGTACTGTATGCTACAAAGCTTTGGTTAATATACTCACACCCTTGCTTGATAACCTGGTGGTGAAAGTCACAGGACCTCTGGCGGTTCAGGTTTCTCAATTCTTGAGTGAGAGATGCAGACCTTAGGAGAAGCTGGAGCTAAGAACTATCAGAGCGAACTTCAAGTTTACTTAACTAACTTAAACTTAAACTTAAAACCTAATACACAAAGCTAAGAACAAAAGTTTAGGGAAACCAAGCTTAGCCTAGTCCCCTTGGAACTTAAAGTTTGAAAAGAAAATGAGTATGGCCTACTCATAGTTAGTAGTCGCCGTGGATAGAAAGATTCTAGCGAGGTGGGTCACCTCTTTTATCGGGCACAGGTGGCGGAAATCCTTCCTCCTATGCCCAAATTTCATTTCTCCCCCACAGAAATGTTAGGGTACACGCACCCCATAGGCTAGTGTGCTTGTGCTTGTTGATGACATGTACATACACACACAAGTTTATTTTGGTTCTTTAGTCATTTCAGTTCTTTCCTTGTGGTGTACCTGTTAAGTCTGTGGGTACAACATTGAAAAAACAACAACCCCTATACTATTCTTCCATTGTCTATTTGTCTCGATAAAAGGTCTTAGACCGGGGTGGGCAAACTTTTTGGCCTGAGGGCCACATCGGGGTTTCAAAACTGTATGGAGGGCCGGGTAGGGAAGGCTGTGCCTCCCCGAACAGCCTGGCCCCAGCCCCCTATCCATCCCCTCCCACTTCCCGCCCCCTGACTGCCCGACCCATCCAACCCCCCCTGCTCCTCGTCCTCTGACTGCCCCCTCCCAGACCTCCCGCTCCTAACCACCCCCCAGGGACCCCCACCCCCATCCAACTCCCCCTGCTCTCTGACTGCCCCGATCCCTATCCACACCCCCACCCCCTGACAGGTCCCCTAGGACTCCTATGCCTATCCAACACCCCCTGCTCCCTGTCCCCTGATTGCCCCCCTGGGACCCCTGCTCCCCTCCCCCTTACCATGCCAGAGCCAGCCACACTGCCTGGCAGGAGCGGTGGGCCAGAGCACTGGCGGAGCAGCAAGGTGAGGCTGCATGGGGGGGGGGACAGCAGGGGAGGGGCTGGGGGCTAGCCTCCCCAGCCGGGAGCTCAGGGGCCAGGCAGGACGGTCCCGCGGGCCGGATGTGGCTTGCGGGCCATAGTTTGCCCACCTCTGTCTTAGACATATCCATGGGTGACTTACCGTTTAGGTAGAAGATCTCAATCTGTAGGTCAATTTTGCAATCTGGGTGAAAGGTCCCAGATATAGATATGCTCACTTTGCCTTAGCTTAACATACAGGTTTTGGCCCGTGGGTCCCTTGCGTTACAGCCCAATTTATTTTCAATATAAATCTATAAACCTATTACAATACATCAAAGACTTAAACTATAAGGAAGGATATATATATGCAAGCAAGCAGGTTAATCCTGTAGGCTACACCTTCTGGCTACAGAGCTCTGGGGATCCCAGCCTGGCCAGCCCCGAATGACCTCCTGTTCTCCTTCCCTGGGAAGGCAGGTTTGTAATGGCCAGCGTCTGCTTTTCCCCCAGGGACCGGGGATCCCCGGGGTGGTGCAGGAGCTCCGGGCTTCACCTTCACCTTCCGCGGCGCGGACGAGGTCTTCAGAGAGTTCTTTGGGGGACGAGATCCTTTCGCCGACTTCTTTGGTGAGCATTAGTCCAGCCTGGCGTCCTCCTGAGGTGAGGGGGGCCAAGCTGTCCCCACGGCCCATCGGCTGCCCTGGGGGAGTGAGCCGGGGGCCTGACGCCCTGCCTGCGCAGGTCCAGTCGGCTGTAATACAGACAGGCCTGGGAGTGCGGCTGGAGCAGCCAGAGGGGGAGCTCGTCCCTTCAGCCCTGATGGGATCTCACCCTGGCCCAGCCCTGAGTGTCACGCCCCCTTGGGTGAGCCGGGGGTGACTGGACTCTCCCCAGGAGTGAGTGTGACACCCTCCCACCCTGAGATTTCACCCGGCCAGGCTCCAGGTGACTCATGGCTTGGGTCCAGCACCAAACCAGGACTCGTGTTACCAGGCAGAAAGACCTGGCTCCATAACTCTCCCGGCCCTCGGTGCTGAGGGCCCGTGGCAGAGCCCCCCAGGGATCGGTGCTGTGGGTCGTTGGCGAGACCAGGCTCTGGTACAGAGAGACAGGAGACAGGGCTCCTTTCCAGGCTCTAGTTCATGCTCCACTGCAGAGCTGGGCCGCAGCTCGGCCCCGGGCACTGCTCAGGCTGGGGCTGGTACGTTCCCTGTAGCCCCAGTGGGATGCCTGCAGCCTCTGCTCACCTCCCACGGCCCCACACAAACGTTCAGCACTTCCCCTTGTTTCACCCCTTCCCAGTGTGGTCCCTCCGCTCATCCCCCTCCGAGCCGATGCTCTTTCCTCCTTGTGCAGATCCCATTAGAACCGCCTCCGGGCAGGGACTTGCCTTTGTTCCTGTCTGTGCTGCTCCATACATCGCCCTAGATAAATGCCACCACCACGCCAGGAAGAAATTAGCCAGCAAATCGTGAGCTGAGAGATTTCAGGCAGCCAAATCCTGCCCCCTCCTAACCACTCCCCCCAGAATCATAGAATGTCGGGGTTGGAAGGGACCTCAGGAGGTATCTAGTCCAATCCCCTGCTCAAAGCAGGACCAGTCCCCAACTAAATCAGTCCATGGCCATCTCCTTTCCCTGCCCCATTCCCTTCTCCCCACCCCTAGCCAGCAGTAACGCCTCTCGGGACTCCCCGAACCTGCCCCTCAGCCACGTCCCAGAGACGCAGACAGACACGGCTTTGGCGTCCAGTTCTCAGCCCGCGCCTTGTGCCCAGAGTCCTCCCGGAGCAGACTCAGCTTCATACCCACTCCTGCCCTCAGAACATCCATGGAATAACCTCGCCAAGGGTGCCAGGACGTAATCATGGGCCCTGTGCAGCGTCGGAGCCATTCGCAGCCGTGTGCGTGTGGGCTGTGCCTGGCAGGGCCGCTTTACCTTCTCTCTCAGCGAGAATCAGTATCCGCTCCTGGCCCCACAGCGCAGGGTGTGTCTCCGTCTGCTGTTCCAGTCCCTCTTGCGGAGGGCTATCTCCGGGCTGCAGGCCCTGGCTGGCACACTACGTGGCTGCAAGCCAGCCCAGGACTGTACAGACCAGAGAGCTGCTTGGAGCTGAGCAGGGAGGAGGAGGAGAGACTGGGCTCTGACAGACCCAGCTCCCAGCTGGCTTGGATTTGGGGGGGAAGAGCACAGCTCCCCTGTGAGTTAGTGGCTTGGATTTGGGGGGGAAGAGCACAGCTCCCCTGTGAGTTAGTACCAGGCAGAAGATCTGATGGTCCTGCATGACCAGAATGGAGCTTAGTTTTCACACCATCAGTGACTCTGAGCAGCTGTTACGGACTCACAGATCGTGCCACTCTTGGCCCCGTGCGGTTCGTGGGGGGTGCCCCTTTCAGTGAGAGAGCCCTTTTTGGGGGTCCACTCTCTCTCGGGTGGAGTGGACTCCCTGAGAGGGCCACGGCGAGAAACAGGTGTGCTAGGGCTCCAAGAGGTGCGGCTCCAGGAGGTGGAGTGACTTCCTGTTTAGGTAGAAGGTCTCAATATGTAGGTCAATTTTGCAATCTGCTCCACCTCCTGGAGCCGCACCTCTCGGAGCCCTAGCACACCTGTTTCTCGCCGTGGGCCCTCTCAGGGAGTCCACTTGCTCTGGGCCCCCCGGGCCTCCACCCCCAAAGGGGTTGATGCAACCCTGTTCTCTAGACGGGAGGGACTCTCAGCCAGCATAAAACGGGAGGGTTTATTGAGAGTTGAACACAGCACAGGAAACTCTCTGACCCTCAGGCCTGGCCTCCCTCAGCACAGCACATCCCAGTCTCCCTGCATCCAGGTGGGCTCTGCCTGCTCCCCCTCTCCAGCCCAGAGCCCCCCTGCTCCCAGCTGGGCATCTGAGATCCCCGGCCCCAGGCCCCGCCTCTGTCCATTGTCTTCTCTCCAGGTAAACAGGGTCGTAAACTGGGGCCTCCTCTCCTCGCTTCTCTCCTCTGGCTGGAACCAGCTGGTTAGGTCACTGGGTCCTCACTCTGCAGCCCATTGTCCTCCCACTGGCCAGACCCGGCTGCGTTTCCTCAGCTGGGCCTCCGGGTCACCAGGTCACCAGATCACCGGTCGCTGGGGTATCCATCCTCCCGGCCATCGGCTGGGTCCCCACGTCCTCTCTCCGGTCCTCTGCAAAACACACTCCCTCTCCCCTCACCTCATTAAACCAGTAACACCCAGGGAAACTGAGTCCCACCCCCTCTGCATGCAAGCCATTGAAACTCCACAGAAAACAAGAACCCCCCCCCCCACTTCGTCACACCAGCCCCTCAAGTCGCTGGAAGAGAAGTACCTACATGGGACCAAGAGCTCCACTATCAGTAGGGTGACCGGACAGCAAGGGTGAAAAATCGGGACAGGGGATGGGGGGTAATAGGTGCCTATATAAGGAAAAGATGCAAATATCGGGACTGTCCCTATAAAATAGGGACATCTGGTCACCCCAGCTATCAGAGGCCTCTGTGGTTCTGCCCCCAAAGGCAAAGGGAGATCCCCTGGCTGGGGGTGAAGCGAGACAGATTCAGACTAGCAAGGAAGGTGCCAACAGTGCGGGGGACTAGCCCTGGGGCCAGCTCACTCGGGGATCTGGTTCAGTGTCTTCAATCCAGAGATGCTGCAGCCCAGCGAGGAGTGGTGGGCGTGACGCAGGCATCTCTGGGCTATGCAGGGGGTTGGGCGACGGTCCCTTCTGGCCTTGCAATCCATGAATGAAATGACCCCCTGCACCAGCCTGCTCCGCCCGCCCCATTGCTGGGAGGAGGAGCAGCGAGGGCTGCCACCTGCCAGCCGGCACTCGGCAGCCGTTCAGCCCTGCCTGGCTCGTGCCCTGCTGCAGGGTGATATTAGTGCTGATACAGCACCCCAAATCTTCAAAAGTGCAGAGGCAAGGCCCCTGTCCCACAGAGCCTGGGCTCTCCGTGGACGGGGGGCAGGAGCCCCAGGGCTGGCGGGTGGCCTGCAGCAGGCGGCCCACCAGCTCCGTGCTACGGCTTTGGGTGGCTCTGTAGTGTCTGTCCTTGGCGGGGCGGGGGCTGAGTTCCAGGCTATGCTCCCATCACGGACCCCTGGAGAGCCCCCAAGTGGCGGTGACCCCTCCCGCTGCCCTTCCCATTACCTACTGGGCCGCACTTACCCACCCACGTCCTGCTTTCCAGATGACGTGGGCCTGTTCTCAGATCTGCATGCCGGAGGCCCGCGGGGCCACGGACGGGGGGGCCCCTCTGTGGCCTACTCCTTCTGCTCCTACGCCTTCCCGGAGCAGTCAGGTAAGGGGGGGGGGGCGACAGACCAGCTTCGGGCGTCCCGTCGCCGTAAATTCTTCCTCTGGCTCCAAATTGTACCCAGCCCCATTGTCCCCGGTCGCACCCTGCTTCTCCCCCCGTCCTTCCTCTGAGTCCTGGCCCTGTCTGAGCCCTGCACATCTAGCGCCATTCCCCTGCCCAGCCCGGCCCAAACCTCCTCCCCTCCGGCTCCGTACCCTGCCCAGCCCGGCCCAAACCTCCTCCCCTCCGGCTCCAGCTCCCCAGCCCAGCCCAAACTTCCTCCCCTCGGCTCTGTATCCCCTGCCCGGCCCGGCCCAAACCTCCACCCCTCGGCTCCGGCTCCCCTGCCCGGCCCGGCCCAAACCTCTTTCCCTCAGCTCCGGCTCCATATCCCCTGCCCGGCCCGGCCCAAACCTCCTCCCCTCGGCTCCGTCTCCCCTGCCCGGCCCAAACCTCCTCCCATCAGCACCGTCTCTGGCTCTCCAGCCTGGCCCAAACCTCCACCCCTTGGCTCCGGCGACTCAGGGACAGTCTCGCCCTACGAATCCTGGACAGACATTTTGTATCCCAGTTTCACACCCGCCCTGCAGTGCATCCCCTGGCTGACCCATTACCGCCCCGTCACCCTCTCACACCCAGCCAAGGGACCCCCTGCGATCCCACGGGGCTCCCTGGGGCCTGGCCCAGGCTGGGGGCTCCTGCTGTGAGGTTTTCGCCCTGTTTTTCAGATTTCTTCTCCTCGTCCTTCAGCCCCGGCACCGACCCCGGAATCGGCTTCCGCTCGGTTTCCACCTCCACCACCTTTGTCAACGGCAAACGCATCACCACAAAGAGGTAGGGATGGACCAGCGCAGACTGGCCAATGGCCAAGCCAGCCTGTCTCCCAGGCTGTTCCAGGGGACCAGATCATGGGGCCAGCCAGTCCCATGTCCCACCACTCGCCACGCCACAGACCTCCATGCCCCCCCCCCAGTTTGGTGTCCCCCCCACCCTCCTGACTCCATGGGGCCTCATTGACACCGGGCGTGAGACACTTTGTGCAAGACTTGTTGCAATTGCATCACAGTGGTGATATCAGTGCTAGAAATGATCGTCTCCACTCAAACGGCAGCCCCCGCTCTCTTCCCCAGGATCATCGAGAACGGCCAGGAGCGGGTGGAAATCGAGGAGGACGGAGAGCTGAAAGCGACAGAGGTGAATGGTGAGGAGCAGAGCTGCTGGGTCTCTGGTTGAGGGTTGCGCAGGGCCGGTAACGGTTGTGCCTGCCAGGGAGACGGGGGGGGAAGTGTGCCTGGAACGGAGACGCCGCATGGTGCAGAAAACCAGAGCAGTTCAGTAAGTAGCCCGGGCTGGCCAAGCAGACGGGCATCGGGAGCGTCTGGGGGAGAGGGGAGAGCCCGTCGCAGAGGCCCCACTCCTGGGACACGGCCCCTGACGCTGCACCCCCACCCTGATGCTGACAGACAGGCAATCTCCCCTCGGCCGTTGGCTGAGCTGGGGACGCGGGTCAGGCCCTGGGGGACAGTGGCCCTCGCACCTGGGGCTAACTGCCCCTTATTGGCAGTGTCAGCAGAGGGGCCCAGGGAACTGTCCCAGCTGGAGGTGGGGCGGGCGGTGCTGGACAAGGGCTGTGGGGAGCTCCGCTTGCCCACGCTGTGCCCGTCTGAGCCCAGAGGAATTCGCTCTCCGGGGTTGTGGATCCCTTCTATCACAATCTGCAATGCCACCCTGGGGCAAGGAGCCGAGGCCCGTCTGGAGACTGAACCTGGCCCCCTGCTTCCCTGGCTGGGGGCTGGCCAGGGTCCTGGGGACGCTCCAGCTGGGTCCCTCTCCCATGACTCTGGTTCGGGGTGCTTTTCTTACAGATGTAGCCAAAAATGTGGAGCCTCAGGTGGGGCTGCACCGCCAGGAACAGCACGACATCCTGAGCTCTGCGTCCGACTCCCCCACCCTGCAGCGCCCCCAGAGCACGGCCTCCTCCTATATGCTCCCCGAAGAGGAGGACAAAGATCTGCACCGGGCCATGGCCTACAGCCTGTCGGAGCTAGAGGACGTGGGGCAGCACCGAGCGGACGCCCGCGGCTCCAAGAAGAGACGGGGCAGCTCGCGGCGGGCCCGCAAGGGGGCCAGCGAGGAGGCGGGCGCTGCCCTGGCGCCTCAGAGCAGGGCCAAGGGAGCAGAGAGCCCTGGCGGAGGAGACAACGTGAAGGAGGGGGAGGAGAGGACGGTCGAGGTGCAGAAAGTGGGGAGCAATCCAGGAGCTGCGGGGGGCGGGTTGGTGCCGGAGGAGAGCGAGTTCACGCTCAGCGACCTCAAGTCAGCGCTTGCTGAGATCGAGTCTGCTCCTGACGAGATGGAGTCGGTCGTGTGTGTCCTCCTGTGATGGTGGCCAGCTGGGATCCGCTGGGCCTGCCCCAGGCAGCGGCTAGTAAAGGTCAGGGTCAGCGCTCCGAGCCGGCGTCTTTATCATTCACTGGGTGAGGAGCCACTCAGGCAGGGCGGGAGCAAAGCCTCCCGGGCCAGGGTCTGTCTGGCCTCCAGCCCCATTGCCCCGGGAGCGGCTCGGGGCCCCCGGCCCTGGGGGCTGCCTGGCGCTCCCCGTCTCCTTCTCTGGGACCATATGTCCAGGGTGGAGGTGCAGCGCTTTGGGAGGACCATAGTCCTGGGGCGAGGGAGGGCGAGGGGTTTGGCTGAGGGGCATCTGTGATCTGCATGCCCAGGCGAGAGGCTTTTCTCAGCTACTCCCTGGAAACCGGTGTCAGAAGAGGGTGCTGGGGGTCCTGGCCCCTCGGGGAGCAGCTGGAAGGGGTCAGATCGAGGACCTGGAGCAATTGACTTATGAGGTGACATGAATGGAGCTAAACCTGCAGCGTGGCCAGAGGAGTGCGGGGTGGAGGTGAGAGCTGGCTCCAGGAGCTGGAGGAGGAACCCCGCTAGCGTTAGCACGGGACAAGGGGAGTAAGGGGGAGTAGCAGAGTGAAACTAACCAGGGAGTGAGAGCTGGGAAAGCTGCCTGGTACTGCAGGTGGCTGGACCAGGCTGGGGGATCCTTTCCCGCGGGGAGGGCGGAAAGCCCGAGACCCCACCTGCTGCACGCCAGATGAATCCAGCCGCAAGCACGACCCGCCCAGCAGCACACAGGGCTACCGCCAGGCCCTGGCAAGGTTTCCTGCTGCCCCCTCTCTCCTGTGCACAAGAGGTCCCGAAGCAAGCCCGTGTGCGTTCAGAACAAGCCCCCGCCCAGGAAAGCCCGGGCAGTGGAGGGGGGGCGGCTCTGTTAGGGGGCTAGAGAGCTGCCCTGCCTCAAATACCCCCTCCCACCCCCCAGGGAGAGGCAGGTAGAGCCACTCATCGGCTGACTGGGGGTCCCAGTGGGTCGTGTGCGGAGCATCCCACACCCCAAACATACGTTGGGGCAGAATGAACACGGCATTTGGAAGGGAGATCAGGCCTCAGCGAGCTGTTCGAATTCTCAACAAGCATGCGGGCAAAGGAGATCCAGTGGATCTAGTGTACTTGGACATTCAGAAAGCCTGTGACAAGGTCCCTCCCCAAAGGCTCTTCGGCAAAGTGAGCAGTCATGGGATAAGAGGGAAGGTCCTCTCATGGATCAGTAAGTTGTTAAAATACAGAAAACAATGGGTAGGAATAAACGGTCAGTTTTCAAAATGGAGAGAGGTAAATAGTGGTGTCCCCCAGGGGTCTGTACTGGGAACAGTCCTATTCAACATATTCATAACTGATCTGGAGAAGGGGGTAAACAGGGAGCTCACAACATTTGCAGATGATACAAAATTACTCAAGATAGTAAAAGTCCCAGGCAGACTGCAAAGAGCTACAAAAGGATCTCACAAAACTGGGTGACTGGATGACTGAAATTCAATGTTGATAAATGCAAAGCAATGCACATTGGAAAATATAATCCCAACTATTCGTATAAAATGATGGGTCTAAATTAGCTGTTACCACTCAAGAGAGAGATCTTGGAGTCGTGGCCTGGGCTGACGCGGGGGGGGGGGCTGGTACAAATTACCGGGGCCCAGCAGTCCAGAAGGGGGCCTGGTGCCCGGCTTCCCCCCCGTCGGCCCTGTTTAGCTGGTCCGCCCTAGCTGGGGCGGCCCGACATTTTTTTTCACCGGGGCCCGAATCTGCTCTCGGTGACCCTGATTGTGGCTAGTGCTCTGAACACATCCACTCAATGTGCAGCGGCGTCAAAAAGCGAACAGAACGCTGGGAATCATTAAGAAAAGGGAGCGATAATAAGACAGAAAATATCACAGTGCCTCTATATAAATCCATGGTACGTCCACACCTTGAATACTGCGTGCAGATGTGGTCGCCCCATCTCAGAAAAGATATATTGGACTTGGAAAAAGTACACAGAAAAACAACAAAAATGATTAGGGGATGGAACAGCTTCCATATGAGGAGAGAGTAAAATGACGGGGACTGTTCAGCGTGGAAAGGAGATGGGTAATGCGGGGGATATGATAGAGGTCTATAAAACCATGACTGGTGTGGAGAGAGTGAATCGGAAAGTGTTATTTACCCCTTCAGATAACACAAGAACTAGGGGTCATCCAATGAAATTAATAGGCAGATAGTTTAAAATGAACAGAAGGAAGTATTTCTTCACACAAGGCACAGACAACCTGTGGAACTCCTTGCCAGAGGATGCTGTGAAGGTGTGATGCAGTAGGGAGCAGGCAGATTGACCTGGGAATGTTGGCTAGTTTCTGCATGGGGGATGGGAGAGCAGGGGGTGACTTTAGGTGAGGGACAATACCTGAGCATGTAACTATGTAAATACCTGAGCCAGGAGGGGGGTGGGGGCAGGTGACACCTTTGCCCGGGACACTGGACAAAGGCGAGAGGTGGAGTTGGGGGGAGGGGGAGAGAGCCTGCTGGAGGGGTTTTGGTTTCAGTTTGGTGCTGGAACGCAGGGAACCCCAAGGCTGGGGTCTAAGCTCCCTGGCCCCCCAGAAGGACTTGACTGAGGGATCCTGTTTATACCTACAAGCCCTGCTGTAGCCTGCGTTCCTATTGTCCAATAAACCTTCCATTTTACTGGCTGGCTGAGAGTCCCGGTGAATCCCAGGAAGAGGGGTGCAGGGCCTTGACAGAAGGCCAAAACTATAACTGGGTTCAGAAAAGAACTAGAGAAGTTCCTGGGGGATGGTCCATCAATGGCTATTAGCCAGGCTGGGCAGGGGGGTCACAACCCGCTGTTCTGGGTGTCCCTAAGCTCTGACTGCCAGACGCTAGGACTGGACAGGGGGTGGATCACATGATAATCGCCCTGTTCTGTTCATTGCCCCCGAAGCACCTGGCCCCGGCCACAGTCAGAGACAGGCACTGGGCTGGTTCTGTTCCAAACCCCCCTGCCCACTGCCTGGGGCCAGCCGGGGAGCTGGCAGGAAGCCTGACCTGCTCCCCACTGGCCAGGACACCAGGAGCTGGGCCAAGCACAGCGCTGGGCTTATTCCCCTCCCTCTCAGTCCCTCTGGGTCCTGGGACCCGCCTCATCGCCCCCGCCCCCCACTCCCTGCTAGCAACCACAGCCTGGTGGGAAAGTGCGGAGTCAGCCAGCTGGCCCCTCCCTCCCTGAGGCTGGTGTCAGCAGCCACGTGACAGCCGGTTTCCAGCATTTCCTGGGGCAGGTCTGCTGCCTCTGCAGCTCCCCTCGCTCGTGCTCTCAGCCCTGGACACAGACCGACCCGCTGGGCCCGGGGCTGGGCCAGGCTCCCTGGGCTCCCCAGCATCAGGGCCCCCTACTGCGATTCCCAGGCCCTGAGTGTGGCAGGGTCCACCCTGGGGTAACTGCACAGTGCTTGTGTTCACACGCCAGCCCTTCGATGCACTGTGCCGCGTTCACACCCCGGCCCTTCGATGCACTGTGCCGCGTTCACACGCCGGCCCTTCGATGCACTAGTGCCGTGTTCACACCCCGGCCGTTCGATGGACTAGTGCCGCGTTCACACGCCGGCCCTTCGATGCACTAGTGCCGCGTTCACACCCCGGCCCTTCGATGCACTAGTGCAGGGTTCACACCCCGGCCCTTCGATGCACTAGTGCCGCGTTCACACACCGGCCCTTTGATGCACTAGTGCCGCGTTCACACGCCGGCCCTTCGATGCACTGTGCACGGTTCACACGCCAGCCCTTCGATGCACTAGTGCAGGGTTCACACGCCGGCCCTTCGATGCACTAGTGCAGCGTTCACATGCCGGCCCTTCGATGCACTAGTGCAGGGTTCACACGCCGGCCCTTCGATGCACTAGTGCAGGGTTCACATGGCGGCCCTTCGATGCACTAGTGCAGGGTTCACATGGCGGCCCTTCGATGCACTAGTGCAGGGTTCACATGGCGGCCCTTCGATGCACTAGTGCAGGGTTCACACGCCGGCCCTTTGATGCACTAGTGCAGGGTTCACACGCCGGCCCTTTGAATCGATGCACTAGTGCCGCCTTCACACACCGGCTTTTAGATGCACTAGTGCAGCGCTCACACTCCCTGCCCCTGAAGGGCAGTAGAATGCACCCCCTGGATCTGGAGTGCAGGGCTCCTGTTCTCAGGCTCTGGGTGCCACGGGAAATGCACACCGCCTCTGGGTGGGAGAGGAAGAGGAAGCGACACAGAGCTGGAATCCACTGATCTCCCTGCAGAGACGAGCCCCGTCAGGGCCGGACAGGTGAGCTCTCCTGACCTCTCATCACCATGGCTACTCCCGGAGGATCTCTCGCCAGGTCCAGCCTGGAGCGCCTGCCTCGTGGGTTTACTCAGTCTGCCCTCAGTGGGGCTGTGCCAGCGTAAAGCCCTCCTGGTCTGGCCCAGCTCTCACACAGGGGCCGCTCCTCCTCCCTGGGTATGTGGTGCTGGGAATGTGGCCGTGGAGCAACCCCCAGCTCCCCCCAAAGGTCAGAGTGGTCCGAGCACCCGCCCAGACCAGACAGGGTCACCCAGGCAGCAAACTGCCTTGGGCTCCGTGGGCCCGGATCAGCCTTGGTGGGGGCCATAAGGTGATCTGAGCTGCACTGGGGGTGGGGGGCAGGGGATACTCAGCCCAGCCCAGCCCCTTGGGACTCAACCCAGTGCTGCATCAGGGCGGCCCCGGTCCCTAGGCAGCCTTGTGCATGCCCCCTACTCCGCTGAGGAGGGGGTGGCGTGGCAGGGTTTCCTCCCCCAGGAGCCAGGCTGGGCTGGGGAAGAGCCCACACTGCTCCTCTTTGGGTTGGCTAGACCCCTCCTGTGGGCTCAGTGGCCTGTCCCAGGCAGGCTGGGCTCCTGGCAGGAGGCGGCCCCAGCAGAGCTCGGATAGGGGGGTGGGTCACTGGTGCCCCTCCTCCCTGCCCTGTGGGATGGCGGGGTGGCTTCCCCTCCCCAGCCTAACAACGCTGGTGGCAGCCTGATACTGCCCGGCTGCCAGAACCCAGCAATGGCTGCCAAGGTTGGTCCCCCTTGCCCAGCTGTGCCTGCCGAATGGCCCAGCGGCTCCCAGCCGCAGTGGGCTGCAGGCACTCCCCATCCATGGGGTGGCATGCAGAGAGCTCAGGGCCGCCCAGAGGATTCAGGGGGCCTGGGGCAAAGCAATTTCCAGGGCCCCTTCCATGAAAAAAAGTTGCAATATGATAGAATACTATATTCTCGTGGGGGCCCCTGCGGGGCCTGAGGCAAATTGCCCCACTTGCCCCCTGGGAGGCCCTGGGAAAAATAAACATTTCAAAACCGTCCGCATCTTGGCACAAACCCAGTTTTGAGAAAACTTTTTTTCAAGTCACCTTTACAAGGTATCACTGGTTGTCAGCATCAGCTAGTGCTAAAAGGCTCTAAAGCTCATTAAAAGGGATGGACAAATATTTTCTGTCAAAACTTTTTTTGGATCGAAAACCAGTATCCTGTCTACCGACAGTGGCCAATGCCAGGTGCCCCAGAGGGAGTGACCCTAACAGGCAATGATCAAGTGATCTCTCTCCTGCCATCCATCGCCATCCTCTGACAAACAGAGGCTAGGGACACCCTTCCTTACCCATCCTGGCTAATAGCCATTAATGGACTTAACCTCCATGAATTTATCTGTTTCCTAGAGACTGGCTCCATGGGGTCCCTCACAAACTGGAGACAGTTACTGTGG